CCTGTCACTCACTGTCCTTCCTTTGGTTTCCACAACCCCATCTCACAGATGAGAAAAGCGAGGTTCCCAAAGGCCAGTGACTTCTTGGGGGGCTGGGTAGCGTGGGGGACCCCCCGCCCGGCAAGCGCGCCCTCCCTCCTGGGCCTGTTTCCTCATAGGTAAAGTGGGGCGATCAGCTGAGGGGACACCTGGCCTGTGCCCTAGCTCTCCCCCTGCCCACAATAGGGTTCTAGCCCCCCCCAACCCCGCCTGCAAATTCACTGGGACATTTACAAAGGAAAATATGAGCTGAGGAGGATGCGGTGGCTCACGCCTGTCATCCCAGCACTTTGGGAGACCGGGGCAGGAGGAGCTTGAGGCCAGGAGTTGCAGACTAGCCTGGACAACATAGCAAGACCCCATCTCTACAAAAAATTTTTAAAAAATGAGCTGGGCGTGGTGGCGCATGCCTGTAGCCCCAGCTACTCGGGAGGCTGAGGCAGGAGGATCGCTGGAGCCCAGGAGTTGGAGGCTGCTGTGAGCGAGGCTGACGCCATGGCACTCTAGCCCGGGCGACAGAGTGAGACTCTGTCTCCAAAAGAGAAGAGAAGAAAACAGGAGCCGACCTGCCTTTGGACCTGGGCAAGGAACACCGTCACCGTGTCGGCTGTCGGGCACTGCACACCTGGCCAGTTCCGCCTCACACTGGAGGTGGCCACAGGGCCCCCACTTACTTGGCTGGGTAGCTTTGAGCCTCAGTGTTCTCATCTGTAAATGGGGACAGTGATCCCGCACCCAAGGGTGGCTGCCCCGGTGAGATACCGAGTGTGACAGAGACCAGCACACACGGCACCCCCTACCCCACCGGGAGCCCCTGGAGGCCGGGGCGGGCAGTCAAGGAGCCGCAGCAGGAAGTGGGGGGCCCATGTGGGGTACCTGGAGGGCACCCAGAGGGCAAAGGCCCCGGGAGCATGGCCCCCCCCCAGCCCCCGCCGCTCCTTACCTTCTGCTCTGCAGGGCTGAGGCCCGGCGTCCTGACCGGGGCATGGGGCACCCCAGCCCAGCGGCCTCGGTTCTCCGGGAGGGGCCGCAGCAGCAGCCCGGAGCATAGTTCCTGGAGGCTGGACATGTCGAGCCGGGATTGAGGCCGGGTCTGTGGGAGGCCAGGAGGAGACCGGGAGGGCGGGGACCTCCACCCACCCCAGGGCCACCTCCCCAAGCCCCTCATTGGGCCCAGGGCCGGCGCAGGGAGCCACGCGCAGGTCGCAGGGTCACTGGCCTCCGGGCAGGCTTCCTGCCGTGTTGACTCAGGGGAGGGGCAGCGTCCTGGGGGAGAGACAGGCCCCTTTCGGGGGGGGGCGTGGGCCGGGTGGAGCTCGGTCTGCCCCTTCCAAGCGGGGTGCTGGCCTTGAGGGGCTTGTGTTTCCTGTGATGCAACTCTGGGGGCGTCTGGCGCTAGGGTTTGCCCCGGAGGTCGTATAGGGGCATCACACCAAGCAAGTGACCTTGGGATTTGTGTCTTGATGATGAGAAGCCACGTGATGTCGAAGCTGGCACAGAACGTGGCCGCCCCTCCTCCCTGCCACCTGACAGGTATGGCCATCACCCCACGGCAGCAGGTACACCTCTGCCGCACCCCCTCCCCAAAACTCTCCGCAAAGGAGCTCCCCGGGGCCTGGCCCTCATCCCCAGATCCATTCACGACTCTGCTGGAAAGCACTCCGTACCTTAGCCCGTACTACAGATGGGGAAACTGAGGCCCAGGTCTCACGTGCACAGCCAGGAAGTGGCCACAGTTGAATTCCAGTGGTTCTGGGAAGCCACAAGGGCAGGGTGAGTGGTCGGGTATTGAGGCAGAATGAGAAATAAACGAGCCGGGCGCGGTGGCTCACGCCTGTCATCCCAGCACTCTGGGAGGCCGAGGTGGGAGGATCGCTCGAGGTCAGGAGTTTGAGACTAGCCTGGACAACATAGCGAGACCCCGTCTCTACTAAAAAAAATAGAAAGAAATTCGCTGGACAACTAAAAATATATAGAAAAAATTAGCCGGGTGTGGTGGTGCATGCCTGTAGTCCCAGCTACTCGGGAGGCCGAGGCGGGAGGATCGCTCAAGGTCAGGAATTCGAGACCA